TTCACAGATTCCTGAGGAGTCACAGAGCCACGTGGGTTGTGCAGCCTGGCTTTCAACCCTACAGCCAAGACGGCCAGAGCTGCCTTGGCTCAGGTGCCCGGAGTTCTGGCCACATGGATTTCAGTTCTGGAATGTTCTTGCAAACCCTCTCCCCTCATCACCTCAGGGTTATCCCTTCCACCACCTTCCCTTGGTCTGGCCTAGCGCTTACGGTCACAGCTCCCAGTAAGAGCCAGATTTGGCCTTCCGATGCCTCGGCCACCTGTGACCTTGATCTCTTAGGACTCCAGTTTTCTAACCATAGAGTGAAGACAGTGCGTGCCTTCCAGGGTGGTTGGAACACGCCTGAGCCCGTGTGTCCCACACTGGGCACAGTTGATGCTCACTCATGGACACTGCATAGATCTGTCTATTGGCCTCAGAGCTGCCAAGTGCCAGAGTTGCCAAGTCAAGCCCTCCATAGTGAGATAGGACTTTGGTCAGTTGGTTCTAGATGTTCCTGCCACATTCACATTCTTAACCTTGACCATGGACCAGAAAGAGCCCGGTACAAGAGGCACACAGCACCCACCAAGCCTGAGGTTCTCCAGTGCTCTGTCCAGCCTTATGTGAAAGAATGAAATTTTTTCCCCCTAATGTTGAATGAACCCATATCTACAAGATAAGGGGGTGTGTTCTCTTTCTGTTTGCTGAAATTTTACCCTATCATGCTTCTGAGAAGATGGGCTTGTCAGTGAGTTTTAAAAGAACTAGATTTGTTTTTATGTCCAAGTTGATCCAGTTGAGAAATCTTAGGCAAAATACTCTTGGAGTGATAACATTATGACCCAAGGCAATATCTCTGAGTAAGCCATGCTAAATAAAAACCAAACCAGAGGCTGGGGCTGTGGCTCAGCAGTAGAGCACTCACCTAGCATGTGTGAGGCCCCGGGTTCAATCCTCAGATTGAGCTTTTTATATTCGACCACATAAAAATAAAAAGTAAACAAAGTAAAGGTATTGTAAAAAAAACGTTAAAAAAACAAGCACAATCATCCCATAATAATGAAAATAAAAACTTTAAGTGACCCATGTTGCATTTTTTTCTTTAGATGATAATTATTGATGTGGGTAGAAAAGGATTTATTTATCCACTTTAGAAATTACACTGGGCATGGTGGCCCACGCCTGTAATCTCAGCATCTTGGGAAGTGGAGGCAGGAAGATGGCAACTTCAAAGCCAGCCTCAGCAACTTAGTGAGGCTCTAAGCAACTTAGTCCTGTCTCTAAATAAAAAATAAGAAGGGCTGGGAATGAGGCTCAGTGGTTAAGTGACTCTGGATTCAATCCCTGGTACAAATAAATTAAAAAAAAAAGAAAGAAAGAAAAAGAAGTTAATATTGTTAGAAGAGGTCGGGAGAACTTTCGTGGGTAGCAATCAAGTTTCAGTTACTTCAAAGTGTGTTGAATGCTCCTCAGGAAAGTGGCCAATGACCTTAGCCAGGAATAGAGTCACATCTGACATTTACCATCTACCTCGAGCTGGATATATGCTAACCATTTAGTATGTCATGTAAGTCTCATGACAGTGCAGGGAGAGGTACAGCCATCATCTCCAATTTACAGGTGATGAAACCGAGGAACCAAGTTTCAAGATATGGTCAGGGTAGAGTATTTAAAAACAAATGAAGTTTTATCTAGAGAGAGAGAGAAAAAAAAAAAAAGGAAGAATTTCCCTATTTTCCATCATGTGTGCAAATAGGTGCCCTTTTGGTGAAAAAGTAAGTCTAAGTTCAAGACTGGAGGCCAGGTCCTGGTACAGTGACACAGGGCACACAGATGACCAAGCTAGGGACATCAGGATCTCTTTGCTCACATCTCATTCATTCTTCATAGGCCTGCTTAGAGGTACTGATGAAAGAGGTAGGAAGAGAACAGAGGCAGAGTGGGGTAGCAAGGGACAGGACATATAGCCAAGACGGATGAGCATGTGCTATGTGGCAACCTAAAATTCTCTTCATTCTTCAGGGGATCTGGTTTGTCAGTTATAACAATTTGCTACTGTCTGCCTCGGCAACCCAGGAAAGACATTGAATTTCATATTTATACGATAGTGCAATTTCTCCCAGTAAAAAGTTAAACCTAAGTCCTTTTTTTTTTTTTAGAGAGAGAGGGAGAGAGAGAAAGAGAGAGAGAGAGAGAGTTTCTTTAATATTTATTTTTTCGTTCTCAGCGGACACACATCTTTGTTTGTATGTGGTGCTGAGGATCGAACCCGGGCTGCACACATGCCAGGCAAGCGCGCTACTGCTTGAGCCACATCCCCAGCCCAACATAAGTTCTTAACTCAAGGAACCTACATGTCCTATATCAGTAAAATAATCTTAATTCAACACTGAGATTTAACTTGGTAAATTTGGTGATGCTGTAACTGGCTAAGGATGGTGGACTATGGTGATGCATGGGTCACACTTGCTGCGTCACTGTCAGGTGCATCAGTGCTTCCAAATTGTCCAGGAGTTTGTAAAGGGTCACGTCTTCAACACCACTTTTCTGAGAAGTGTCTCCATGCTGCAAAAGAAGACACTACACACTACACACTACACAGGGAGGATGCTCAGCCAGCTGTGAGGCCACCTGGGAGATGAAGCCAGTCTGGAATTCCTTCCAGTGTAAACATCTGACCTTCCTTGGATGTTCTTTGGGGAAGCCTGAATATTGGGGTAAAGATAAAAAGGGTCAGGATTGCCTTGGGGCAGGGGGAGGTTGAAATTTTAAGCCATCTGTTAACTCTTTGAAGTATTGCAAAATGCTATTTTCATATACGTATAATTTATCTATTATATATAATCATAAAACACAAATATATATATATATATATATATATATATATATATATATATATGTATAATTTTATGTTTTAAGATATATAAAATTTGAGAGAGCTGTCAGTTATGGGGAGCTCTGCAGCAGGTCTGATATAAGATTCTATGCATTTGTAGTGCAGAAGTGTGTTTCTGGAAAAGGCAAGGCTTAGTGGCTAATACCTTCCTTTTCCTTTCCTTGTCTGAATTTTGGAGGTGTGAGGAAACTGGCTAAGGATGGTGCATCTGTTTTGGAGGTGCTAGAGGGGAGTGGGAATGGTGGCAGCTGTCCAGTCCTTACTTCCCTGAATCATAGGCTAAAGTCCCTTCCGCGCCACAGTCAATGTGAACACAATCTTCCAGCTTTTGCCAACCAGCTCTCTCCCAGGCTTTTGGGTTTTGAGGATCTGCTGTGGCAGAGACTAAGTTGGCCACCTCAAAACTCAACATCCACTCTCCCCCTTTTTGGTACAAAATAAACATCCCGTGTTTATTTGAGAAAGCCAAGTACACAACTGGGCTGATGACTTTCCTCTTTTGCAGTTAGATGTGGCCAAGTGACCAGATGTTGACCAATGAAGTAAAAGTGGAAGGGTTGAATTATACTTTGGGGAGGTTCTTAATAGAAAGAGAGTGTGATCTTTGATCCCTTTATTCTTTCCTGTATGGAAAGCAAATGTAATGACTTGGAGCCATAGCCGCCATTTTGGACAATGAAGAAACCATGAGCATGGACCAATTTGAATCATGGAGAGGCAGGTCATTTGCAGAGCTTATTTGGAGGTTCTAGCAGGGGAGTGCAGCTATTTGTATACCCTTGATAGAAGAATGGTCCTCCTCTATCTATTGGGGAAGTTCGTCCTCTTTGGCTGAGCCCACATCTTTGGGAGGGACACACATGGAGTGGTGAGGGTGGAAGGGGACACCCGCCTGGCCAGCCAGATCAGCTGAATGTTACCCTGGTGATCAATGGAGTGACATCTGTCACAGCCAGATTGCCCTCACATTTTGGACCGAAAAGAAGCCAAGTTGCTGGAAGGAACATGGATCACCGATGCACAGGATGCTCCACCAGCCTGGACTGCTAGCCCCAGAATTTTTTTTTTAGAAACCTCTGCTTTTAGAAGCCATTTATCCCATGCAGCTGAACATAATTCCAACTGATGAACTTGGGAAAGAGTTGAAATCATGTACACTCTGAAATATTAAACATTTGGTGTAATAAATCCAGCAGCATACACCTTCAACGCAATTCACAAGGTCGATAGTTTACCCGTTAAGGGTTCTGAGAGGCCTCATATGTGGAGGTGGCTTGTCATTGCAACTCCAAACAACCCAGATATGGCCGCTCGCTAGGCATTGGTAAGCGTGTCATCCTTAAAGGTGCTGGAAGGCTCAGAAATTGTGTTTTATGGTGAGTAATTACTAAAATAAAGCAGTGATGTTATAAATCCTTCATAGTATTAGAGTTTTCAGTTGTGAGGATATAAAAGATTTTTAAAAGAATTTACTTTTAGCTAATAAGATATCATTTTTTGAGTGCCTACTGTGTGCCGGGCACTATACTAAACACTTGCCTAATCTTTTTTTTTAGTTGTCAATGGACCTTTATTTTATTTATTTATTTATATGTGGTGCTGAGAATTGAACCCAGTGCCTCACACATGCTAGGCAAGCGCTCTACCATTGAGACAGAACCCCAGCCCGACTTGCCCAATAATTTTTACAATACATATTATTATTATATTTTCCATTAACAGACGGGCAAAGAGAAAAGAGTTTAGTGGCAGGGCCCATGTTACAAAAGACCAAACCAAAACATATTCTAGGTTAATATTTTTCTAGATAGTTTTGACCATCCTTAACCTCTCTAAATTCTCCAAGGCACAGTGTCAGAATGCTGTTCTTGTTCTTATAAATCAGAAGGCTGAAACCTAGAGTGCACTTGCTCATTTTAAGGTCATATCACGCAGGTCATCAGAGTATCCAGAGTTTGAACTTGAGGAACGGAGAGCCAAATCCAGGCACTATAAATCAACTTGGTCTCTTCCTTGACTGTAACTTTACAGTCAAGTTGAAAGAGATAGTCACTCAGTGATACTCAGTCTGGGAAAGTTAGACCCTCCTTTGAGTCAAGACAGAGAGACACGCATGATGTCTATTTTATTCAGAATCAGTTTAATGGCATAAAAATATTCCTTACATGGCTTTGCTGTTCCAAAACTCATAAACTTAAAACACAAATATGACAAAATTTAAGAATTATTTTGGCCATCTTCCCCAATCCCAAAGGAGATTAAAAAGTAATAATGTAAAAAAGTTAAGGTCCAAGGTGTGTTAAGATGACGGCTGATGCCTACCCACGTGTTTGCTGGTTGGCTCAGCTCACCTGAGAGCTGCCGAGCTTAACTCACCATCCAACAAGGGGTCAGTTATTAGTTCCCTGGGTGTTTGTCCCTGAAGTTAAGCCATGCTCTGGGGACACCGTAGGCACTTTAAGCAGATAGCTACCTTTTCTGGGTGGGGTACAATGTTTGGCAATCGAAAGTAGGGTCAAGAATCTGCAGTTGGACAGAATGCTCCATGCTTGTGTGCCTTTGTTGGCATTTCAGAGCATCCTCATGGACATCTGTGCCAGATGTTCTGGAGACCATGGAGGTCTAGCAAACAGCTATTTAATATCTGCATTTGTTGTGGATGTGGATACAGAAGCCCACTCTGATTTTTATTTTAGTGTCCTCAATGATAGCTTATTTACACAGAGTGATGCTCCAAATATTTTGCAGGTGGCATGGCACAATGCTGACCCCTGGAACAGGTGCTGGATGTGAACACCTGGCCAGCTGTACCCGGGTGTGCTGGCAGAAGGATCAGCTGCACGTCCAAGGAGCAAATGCATCTCCACTTGCTCAGCATGACACTAGCTTTCTTGCCTGCACCATTTCCCTCCTCTAATCTGCCTCATCCAAGTCTTCTCCTGCAGTAGCAGCTTCTAATGCTGCGAGGGCTTCTGCCACTGCCGCATCCTCGTCCACCACCTCCCCATCCCTGTTTCCATCAGAACTATCCGTTTCCTCCTGTTCAATTCTGGAATTGACCACAGGTGTGATAGGACCCTCCTCTTTAAAGTAGACGCTTAGAACTTCCGTGGTCACCGCCTCATTTAATGAGTCCCAGCTTCTCCTCCTGGGGAAGGGCATGTTCAAACCGTGCTCGCCCACCCTGGGAAGAATTCCCGCCAGAGGCTCATCCTCCTTGGGGTTCTTGAAAAGATAATCCTTTTCTTCATGATCCACATTGTGTACAGCTGTGCCCCACAGCTGAGGGTAATCCGGGGTTGGTATCTGGAGGTCGTGACCTTGTACTTCCAAGGCAAAACTTTCCACCTTAGAAGGAACTTCAAAGTCCCCACTTTGGACGACTTGGGTCTTTTCCAAGGCTGGCAGCACACAGTCCTGTTTCCTGGTGTCCCCTCCTTCAAGGAAGGGTTGAGTGGGGTGCACACTGTCTGTAGGACTGGCCCTGGAGCCCTTGTCCCTCTGGTGGGACCTGGGGTTCCTGGTGGGCTGCAGAGCTGCAGTGGGGCCCATGCCATTGACTGCACTGCCAGGCTTCTCCTCCCAGCGTCCACCTCCTGCATCCTCCTGCGGGAGCGGCTCTTGGTGAGGCCAGCAGGGCTCTTGGGGACCTGCTCTCTGGCCTCTACCCTCCGACCTCTTGAAGCCCTCACTTGCAAGGACATTTTTATGCACCAGGATCTCGCTGCTCTGATTGCTTTTGAATTTCTCAGGGTCATCTTCATCCAACTTGCAGCTGCTGACTTCATTGATGTAGCCCGGGGAGGCCACTGGAACAGGATCGAAGAGATAGCTGGGGGCGAAAAGAGCGGAATCAGTCAGTTTGTACCCTAACGGAGGAGTGGGGCGTGAACTAGTTCTTGTGATTATACTTTTAACCCCAGATAAGTGGGTGTAACTCTAATAGATATAGTTGGTATAAAAATTATGCTACCCTTAGTAGGAAAGTTTAACCAGAGTTCCCGAAGGAGGCGAGTGATAGACTACAAAGTGATTTGTGAAATTTTAAAATAAAAAAGTAGATACAACAGGGGCTGGGGTTGTAGCTCAGTGGTAGAGCGCTCGCCTCGCACGTGTGAGGCACTGGGTTTGATTCTCAGCACCACGTAAAAATAAATAAAATAAGTAAAGATATTGTGTCCATTTAAAAAAAAATCTTTAAAAAAAAAAGTAGATACAACAAATGTCCACAAATCGAAAATAAGGGGTTAAGTATCTTATTGATGGTTTATCTCCCTGATGGGATTTTATGTAGTCATTAAAATGATAAGTATGAAGATTATAGTGGCATTAAAAAAAAACAAACTTTGTTCCTCAGGGTCTACTGGGGGAGTGGTTCCAGGACCCCCCTGGATACCAAAATCCTTGGATGCTCTTCTCTCATATAAAATGGTATTGTATTTGCATCTGGCCTACATTTGCATGTGGCCTCCCTTTTACTTCAAATCACCTCAAGATTACTTATTATTCCTAACACAACATAAATGCTATGCAGATAGTTTTGACTAGACTTTTTAGGAAGTAACAAGAAAAAAGTCTGCACAGTTCAGTATAGATGTCATTTTTTTCTGAATATTTTTGATGAGTGGTTGGTTGACTCCGGGGGCATAGAAGCCAGGAATGTGGAGGACTGACTGGACTTTTAATAAATATTTTTTAAAAACTCCAAACATCCAATAATGACAGAGGAGTCAAATTTATATGTGTTTGGAATTGAGCAAAAGCAGTGTTATTTGTTAAGGAAGCAAGATCTTCATTTAATTTGTTCCCCCTGACAGTTAATATTACATAAAAATTTATGAAATTTATTATGAACAAAATTATAGGTACCTTGTGGGTCTGGGGGATTCATTTTTAATGATGCTGTTTCAGGTATCCTCTGAAACTCAAGCTTTCTTTTATTAACATTCTCTCATGTCAGTTGAGCCCAAACCAAATTTAAGTCTCAGAGAATGATGATGTTCCCAGCATGTTTTGAGCAGTGAGCAAGAAAAGCTTAAAAATTTAGGCCACATTTCCTCTAAGTATCACCCAAACAGGGCCTTACACGTGAGGCATTGGCAATGTCGATCATGCCCCAAGGCACTGAATACATGCATGTTCTTTATTTTTATTATTTTTGAATTGATGTTATATACATGGTTTTTGAAAGCAGCTTCATGATGATCAAAAATCCCTCCATTTAGAAGAAGTCTTTGTTCAACTTTACCTTTGTATCATTTTACAGCACCTGCACCCCATCTGGATTATTTTTTTGTTACCATCTGGAAAAGAAAGTGTAGAAGGGAGAGAACATTATGAACGAGATATGAGTAGGAGTAAGTTTGTTTGTCCTTCTTAGATGCTCAAAATTTAAAAAGCTGAAAATTGTGGCAAAATGATAACACATTGATGAGGGAAGGCGCTGGTTCCTCAGAGTAACTCCATGTCTTTGAAATCACCCATTCAAAGTTCCCAGACGGTGCTAACACTTGCCTCTGTGCCTGACCCTTTCCTAACACTATGAGTTGTTCATTCCATCCCCACTTTACAGATGAGGGACATGTGCATGGAACAATGCCACAGAGAGAAGGGACCTGTGTCTTTGTCTAGTACAGTGCCTTTTATGGAGGACACAAGAATCTTACTGAGGTAAAGGCCACTGTGCAGAAACAGGAGGCAGAAGAGGTTTTGAGAGGGCTCCTTGCCAGAGGTCAGTTCCTCTAGCATGAAAGGGTGCTGTAGTAGTTTGGATCTTTTTTTTTTTGGGGGGGGGTGTAGTCTAGGATTGAACTCATGGGCACTTGACCACTGAGCCACATCCCCATCCCTATTTTGTATTTTATTTAGAGTCAGGGTCTCACTGAGATGCTGAGTGCCTGGCTTTTGCTGAGGCTGGCTTTGAACTTGTTATCCTCTTGCCTCAGCCTCCTGAGCTGCTGGGATGACAGGCAGGCACCACCATGCCTGGCTAGTAGTTTGGATCTTAAATGGCTCCCAGAGGCCCATATGTGAAGCTTTGTTCTCCAGCCTGTGGCACTATTGGTGATGGAAGCTTTAGATGGGTCCTAGAGGGAAGAAGTCAGGTCACTGTAGAGTTAGTTGGGTCCCTGGATCCTCCTCCTCCACTCTTGCTTTCTGTCCTGTGAGGTGAACAGTCCTCCTCCACAGCTCATTGATGACATCCCAGCTGGGATTCATGACTCTATTCTTTCTCAGGTCATAGACATTCCCTCTGGGGGCTTCCTGGTAAAACTGGACTTGTTGCCCACCGGCCCACTGTCCCTAGCTCCTTCCCAAACTGGATTCACTCCATCCTTTCCCTCTGAACCAAATCTTCTCTTCATGTAAAACTGGCCATTTTGGTCTGCTCCGAAAACCCTAAAAATCAGTGTTCAAGGATCTCTAAGTTATTCTTCGTTTCCAATATCTACAGCCTTCGGACAGCACCACCCACAGCCCCAGGCCCTTGTCTTTAAAGATACACTCACTAGGAAGAGGGCTCATTTGTGGGCTGGTGCTGCCTCGCTGGTCTTTCTCCTCCCCTTTTCAGTTGTGGATGGATTCCTGAGGATGCTACAGCACAAATCTTTGCATCAAAAGACATGTTGTGTTTTTTTTAATTTTAATTTTTAAGAAGCATAGATTGGTTGGTTGGTCACAGGGAACTAGATTACTGCACTGAAAAATTAAATCCATAAACACCATCCTGTAGTAGGGTGAAAACCGTCTCCCTGAAAGATATCCTCATCCCCATTCCTGGAGTATGGGAATGTTACCTTTCATGGCAAAAAAAAAAAAAAAAAAAAGTCTTTGCTGATGTGCTGAAGTGATAAATCTTGAGATGTGGAAACTTGCTCAGTGAGCTGGGTGGACTCAAAAGACAATTACAAATGCTTTTGAGAGGAAGGTAGGGATTTGGTCACAGAGACAAGGAACAAATTCACCCTGGAACCTCAGAAAGAGTGTGGCCCTTGATTTCAGCCCAGTGATACCAATTTCAAGACTTCTGGCTGCTCTAGTACTGTGAGTTCATTCCAGCATGAGGATGAACTTCTGTTGCTTTTAACCCTCTCATCTTTTAGTAACTTTTCAAGTATCCAGAAAACGACCACATACCCAAGTCAGTGTGATCTTGAGCACAGAATCCCTTGCGGAAGTCTTCTTGGGAAGGCTAACAAATCTATAAAAGATTTCACTGGGCCACCTACCCTCCATTTCTTGTCACTCTGATTGTCCTTCATTTTTCTTCCCAGCATGTCCAATGCTACTACTGGACATTTTGTTTAGATGTGATTCTGATCCATCTTTTCAGGAGGAAATTAGCTCAATGAGGGAAGTGCTTTCTCATGCCCAATCCCTTAGCACTTAGGATAGCATCTCACATTCTGGGGACAGTTAGTAAAATACTTTGGGGTTTCTAATAGATGTGGCTTAAAATGGAGAGCAAGACTTGTAAGCATTTTGTTTCTCTATGACCAATGGAGACATTTTCAGTTTGTGCCAACCATGTCACTCAGGAGTTATGAGGGCAAGCTCTGGAGAAAGAAAACCTGGTTCCCAGCCCAGCTTTGCCCCCTACTCACTGTGTACCTTTGGGCCTCAGTCACTTCATCCCCCACAGTGTTGTTGGGGGATACATAAGTTCGTAGTCAGAATAAGCAAAGACAGGAATATTACCTAGCCTTGTATGGATACAGCATATTCAGCAATTTTAAAAACATGCAAGCCTTGCCCCCATGGAAGATGTGACTCAGCTGCTGTGACATATGCATACAAGCTACAGCATCAACACTGCCAAGTAGCTTTGCTTCTGGAATGAGGGCCACGTGATACATATCTATCAACTGTGACGCCAATTGAAAGACATGAACCTCAAGTGTGAAGATGGTTGTGGTTGCAGAGAGAGAGAAAAATCACCGGGGAGCTGAGCTAGGAATATATGTGTACAACCTTGCACTTTTCCAGAGCACTCCCAATTAAATTACCCATTTTCAAAGCCTGAGGTTGTGTTCCCAGCTGCAGCACCCCCCCCCCCCCCCCCCCCGCCCCTCAGGTCCCTATTTCCTGCTAGTAATTCACAGCTCACCTGGATAAAGAGGACAGATTAAAGAGTAACACTTGCATCTCTTTCCCTCCCCCGACTCCTCCCCTTCTCTACTCCTGCCCTGGAGCTCCACAACCAACTCTGAATTCCCAACCCTTTCCAAGTACCTTTGTTTGTCTTGGACCTAATTAATTAATTATTATTATTTTTTTTAAAGGCAGGAGGATAGCTAGTAAAGAAAAGTTCAAAGAAAAGGAAAGAGGGGACTTAGATAATCATGTGACTGACGCAATCATAAAATATTAATCATAAAATATCAATCATAAAATATTAATAGTAGTGGGTTCAAAAGCTGTACCTGGGGAAGAAAGGAAGGAGGGAGGGAGGGCAGGAGAGGAGAAGGGAGGGCAGGAGAGGAGGAGGGAGGGCAGGAGAGGAGGGGAGAGGGCAGTGCATCTTGAACCACATCTGGCTCACCTCCCCTTCCCAGCTCCCTAGAGGCTGAGCAAGATGGACCTGGGAACTAGAGAGACCCAGGTTAGAAAGCCTGTTCCCTACTTTCTGCTGCTGGGGCCGAGGCCATAGAGCAACTTGCACCAAAATATGCTGCTAGGACTAGCCTAATTCAAAACCCACCTCTTCCCTGCTTCTTATCATTACCTATGGCTTTCAGGCTCCCTCCTACCTTGGAAAACCACAAGGTCTGTATTGCTTTTCGAAGCCATGCAATCCCAAGCTGTTCAGAAAGTTTTCCTCCTTTCAGGGTCAGTTTCAGTCTGGTTTCTCCCCGACACCCCCCCTGAAGGGCATACCACATGGGCTTCCTGCAGACCTGCTCCATACCTGCGGGCCATGCTTCTGTGCCTTTGCAGCTCGGTGGGGACAGCCTCTTCCTGGTTCCAGTTTCTGCCCTCTCTCACCACCCTGTATTTTCCTTCCCCAGAGACATTCCTTCTCTCCACAGGCTTTAACGTCCAAGGTTGTGTGACCAGCTGGTGAGCAGGGTGGGGACTAATGTATTCACACCTGGCCCCAGCATGCTCGTATCTACAATCATTCTTCCTTATACGATGTGTCAAATCAAATTCAATTCATTTCCCCTTTCATAGGTCACTCCTACATCCACATCTTCCTTTTAGCAAGAAGTTTTTCCTACTTCCAGATGCAATGAGGAATATACTCCTCATCCTACCTGAGAACACGGTGGTGGCAAAAATACCCACTCCTTTGAAGTAAGCTTGAGCCCCAAAGGACCCGTTTGTGAGCTTCCTACTCTGCTCTCCTTTTAGCAACGGCTAGCCTAAAGTTAAGATCGGAGTCGTTGGGTGCCCTTATTGCTAAGCAGAATCAAAATTTGCTTTCTCTTTGGGAAAGCAACAGGGAAGCAAAGGGCAAATCCTTCGCAATCATCGCTTGGTTTACACAGGGGAAAAACAAACACCATTAGGGTGACTGTGTCTGTGGGCTGCTGGCGCCCGCCTGCTCCTGGAGTGCAGGGTCGGGGTGTGACTCTTTCCTGAGTATTTGGCTGAAATGAAATAGTCCTGTGTTTGAAGATGGCCATGCTAATTCACATCAGTTACTTATGGAGCCTCCTGGTAGGAAAATCCTGTTTTGCAATGGGGACATTGGAGGGGGGCGGGGAGACCAGGGAGAACCAGGAATTTTCTAACCAGGCAGAGGAATTGCCTGAGTATTCATCAGGAAGTCAAGGAATATAGAAAAAGGCTCAACCCACCCGGAAAGAGCTGCTTTTAAATAGTGATCTTGAAGAATGACAGGGTCAAGGTAAAAAGATCCGAGAGTCAGCTCATGGGCTTCTACTGGCCATGTCCGGAACCATTAGAGCATCAAAATCAATACTACTAATATAAAGGACTACAGCCCGTTGAATGATTCACAAGGGCACTGAGATAAGTAGAAATGGGGGGAGGGAAAGCTTTACAAGTAGAAAGTCAGCCAACAAACATACAAGGAAGAAAGGACTAGAACAACTGCCATTCGATGATCATTATCGTAATAACTGATGAAAGTGAGAACCATGGATGAACGCGGGGACCAGTGGGTGAAAGTTTGAGGAGAACAGGATGTTCAGTCTCAAAGGATCTCCCTGCCCATGCTCAAGGCTGCAATGGTATCTCTACCATGGATCGAGACAACTGTCAGTACTCTGCTTAGTGCTCCTTAACAAAGTCATGTTGGCTGAGCGCGGACCTCAGTGGTAGAGCTCTTTCCTAC